ACTTGATCGTATCTCTTTTCCTCTTGTATTTGGGGTGACTTTTTAAACGATTTGTATATCTCACTACTTTTTACAGACATATTTGAATAAACATCAACCCCTAAAATATATTTATACCTTAAAACAAATAAATTTATACCTTAAAGAAAACTCAAGTTTAACTACAACATAATTTAATCTCTGGTACGAACTTCAAATTACGGGTATTTTGTGATACTCAGACTTGCCAATTTTGTTTTAATCCTGGCTAAAATTGTAATTATATCATTAAATATCTATGTTATTGGAACATGTAATATAACCAATAATATTTCTTATACCTCATAAAATAAATGTCAATTTACACTTTTGATTTCTTTGTTCTTAATTTTTCGCTTGTTAATTTTCATTTCTTTAATTAATCAACTTGCTTTTTATTACCTTCAGAGTTACAAAAGAAATCACCAGATCTTGTACTGTCCAATTCAACAAAAACAAATTAAGCAGGTGATTCCAACTTACCCTTAAATTATTCATTAATTAGCCATTAATATGATTACATAAATGGGTAAAAAATCATGACTTTTCTCTTAATTTAAATTTAATTAAAACATGTAAAATTAGGTTATAATTAATACATTGCTCTGGTGGCTTCACGTCAATTCTATACAGGGTAATGGCTGCCACACACAAAAAACCCATGTATTTAAGTAATTATTTCAAGCGTGGAGCCAAACTCCTCCTCTATTTCTATCCTCTGTGCAATATCAACTGTTCGACAGTGACTCCCTTTGCCAGATTAATTCCATTGGCGGCCGTAGGTGTGTGTGTGTATATATATATGTCTGCATACACACACACATGTACATATATATATATATATATATTTGTAATCATGCTAATACTAGGATTAAATAGTAAAGTGTAAAACAGTGAGATGATGATAATGTAACAGGTTTATTTAGGTCAAAGATTCTGAAAGGCAAGCAACGAGGAATAGTTAGAGATGAATTGGGGACAGGCTTGTAACCTTAACAAGTTGAACGGGAAATGAGAATGACATAGAGATGAGATTGTGTGTCTATTTATTTCGCAATTAAAAATTAAATTTCGTCTAAAATAGGTAAAAAATATTTACTCATCATCCTTCTTACTTTAAAAAAAAAAAAAATGTTAATTATGAATTTCTTATATAACACAGATTCAAAGTAAATTAATACGAATATTTTGTATGATTCAGATCCGAAATAAGTTATGATATTTATATCATAACTCGAGAAATGAATAACCTGCCCTGCTCATATGACAATGACCAGTAGCATAATGATCAGTTAGTAGAGTCCAAATGAGGAATTATTGGTAATGCAAATTGATATGAGGAATGTATATATATATGTATGTATGTATAAAAGAGAGTGTTGGTGATGTTTTTGTTGTTTTGTTTGGTGGTTTGTTTTGCTTTTATCTTTCTTTACTTTTTGACTTTTTCCAACAAACGTGCACACAAACTGTTCAATATCAGATCTGTCTTCTTTCAACAATTCCATTAACATTCCATTTTGCTTTTCTTCTTTAAAATAAATTTTTTTTTTTTTTTAAAAAAAAAGTAGAAGTTGTTTTGATTGCATGCATGTCATGATGCATGAAAGCTTTTTGGGTGTTCATGCATTTTTCTTCTTTCAAAACCCAATTCAAAATAAGCCAACCATTAAGCCCAATTTTATTTTATTCAGGTGTACAAATTATAACTTGTTGTGTAAGTTAATAATACACTAAACAAAAAAAAAAAAAAATTGATAAATTACATTATTTTTTTTTATTAGTTTAAATTTTTTTATTAAAAAAAAAAAAAAAAAAAAAAAGTAACGGTTCAATTGTATTATTTGATAGTCATAGAGTTAGTGATCATTTTTTCCAAATACGAGGAACCTCAATAATGAGGTTGTGAAGTCTTAAGAAATTGAGAGTGACTCAAAAGGTGGTTGTCAATTAAGAACAGGGATGATTCTTTTTCTTATCTTGATGAAAAGAATCAATATTGTTTACCTGATATTCAATTTAGATATCAAGAATTGAAAAAAAAAAAATTAATGTATTTTAATTCAAAGCGAATGAACTCGTTTGGACCAATATTATAAAAAATATATAAAATTTTTTAAAGTTTAATTCATTTATTTATTTTTAAATTAATTTAAATAAAAATATCAATTCAGCTTGGTCTAAACTTAAACTTAAATAATTTAATAATTGTTCTAAAACTCTTTATGTAATTTAATCTATTTCAGTTTCGAACCAATAAAGAATATCATATGTGATATAATTCTTTAAAAGCAAAATAATATAGAAAACAACTGTTGATTTTGTGCTTCTATTGAATGCTATAAAGATGAATTTCGAACTTCCAAGCATTGAATTTGTTGATCTCAATTGTTAGATATCTTGCTTCGAATCAGTGTTTTCTTTTTCTTGCTAGCTTTCTTTTTCCTATCATTTGTTTGGCCACTTTTTTCTTAAAATTAGGATCCGCCATACTTCGTGTTTTTACCTATTATATTATATGACATTTATCTTTCTTGAATTTTTGTTAAATATATATATATTAAATTGATATATAAAATATTTATCATTATAATTAATCATATAATAGTATTGGTATCAGTTGTAACTTATTAATCGAAGAAACTCGAATATTAATAAAAAAAAAATATAGGGGAGAAAATCAAAATTTGCAATTACATAAAATTTGGATCAAATTTTCTTCATACCTCAATTGATTATATAACCATGATAAACATACATATATATACACACACAAACACATATATATACAAGTCAATTGAGCAAAAGAGTTGGTAATAATAATATATATACACACACAAACACATATATATACAAGTCAATTGAGCAAAAGAGTTGGTAATAATAATGTCATGTGGGTAACGATAGTTGAAGAACGAACAAACTCTTATAATAACTAGCTTTGATCACAATCACTTGCAATTTGTGAGGATCAATTCGAATTCATAATCTTGAATTGCATCTTGTTTTATCTTTTTTTTTTTTTTAATTAACACCACATGGATTATGCAAACACGAAATTATTTTGTCGAAAATGGCATAAAATCAATTAGATAGTTGATTAGACCACCAATATCTACATATATATATATATATTATATACACATACACACCCCCACACCATTGAGGTTTAGTAGGTTTAGGCTTCCTGTATCGACACGGCATCGTAGCCATAGGACCTATAGATTATAATTATTAATTACTATTTATCAGACAAGTTCCACAAAATTCTAATGCACTAATACCGGTAAGACAACCTTTTTTGGAAACTAAATTGAATTAATAGGACTTTTCCTGTTTAAGCCAATTATATTTGTATCGAATATAATTGTGTATATATATATATATGTACATAATGAATGTGTTTTCCTGTTTAAGCTGTTTAACCCGTATCAAATAGGAGATGGGTTTAGTTAATTTATTATAACTGTAATAAATAACCTTTTGTTGTAGACTCTCTCTCTCTCTCTCTCTCTCTATATATATATATATATGTATATGTATGTATACTGTATTGTGCATGTGTGTTTTTGTGTAATTAAGCGTGGTAGATTGATCATTTAATGAATGGTTTCCCTACCAGCAACAGCATCCAATCCAAAGCTGTCAAGATCCCAAATGAATCTAACTATTTGAAATTAAGCTTAGTTTATATTATATGATGCTATATCACCATTAATATTGTTGAATGGTCGATTCTAATATAATATAATATATGTGTGTAATAGGAAGTAGACTATATGTATATAATATACCGTAATCAATAATTGAAAGAAAATGATGGTGTGTAGCAATTTATTGGGAATTTAATATTTTATTAATCAAAAGAATCTAAAGGAGTGAGATTATTTAGGGTTTTAAAAACATCTTAACACCATGATGATCCAACAGTTTAGCGGTGAAGGGTTAAAATATTTAATGGCTAAAAGTCATTAAGATGTAAACGATCTATCTTTATTATCCAAATCCTAGGAAGATTGAGATTGGTCTAAAAAATTAATTTTTAATTAAAATGCCTTAAGCATCTAATTATTGAAACTTTACCACTAACACAATCATTAATTTGTTTAAATAATCTCAAAATATTTTTACAATCACTTTTTTTTTTTTTTAATCTTTATGTATTATAGATTAATATATAATATTTAATTTAATAAAATTCAAAAATTAATTAATTATTTATCTTAATGGAAATGCAATAATCAAATTGTATGAAATTCTAACGAATCATACAAAAGAAATATTTTATGATAGATAAATTTCGTTAGTTAAAACATTTTTAGTTTTGAAAAAGCAAAATTATTTAAACCTTTTTCACTTTTAAGGAAATGGGTTTCTCAAATCTATGTTCTATATAATATACACACACATCCATGATCTTATTATATACGCACACGTCATGATATCTCACTTCATTCGTTCTTGCTTTTAAAAATTTATGGTCGTCCAATTTTTTTTTCATTCCCAGCTTCTTTAGTAAAATAAAGAGAGGCCCAAATTTATATGGCCCGAAACCCAAATGTCTCTTCTGTGGGTACGAAAGTGTGACTAGCAATTTAATATTTAAATTTTTTGTTTTTATAATTATATCTCAATTGTATCTGATTAAGATTATTATATTTACAAACCATCAGAATACATTCTTTGGACCTACGCCTAAAGATGGAAAAAGAAAATTTTATAACACACTAATTAATGCAAAATACCACTACCAAAATTATTGATTTTCTTTTTCAATTTCATCTTGTTACCATAACACAAAAAAATTATATATTTTTCTTACCACAATATAATATACATTTATTCTTATATTATTCAAAAAATCAAATCTGTTCTACATATTTAACTCATCTTGAATATGTTATCCTCGAAATGCTTTTTCTTTGTGAAAGTATCCAATTTAAATTACGAAAATTTTATTCTTTGCATAAATTTAGTGACAATTTTATCCAAGAATAAATCTTTACTTAATCCATTAATTCCACGCATTACAATATAAATAAATATTCAATTTATTATCTCCCTCCCAAATCATATTTTATTTATTGCTTGCTCTGCAACCAAACCTACAAAGTATACTTAATATACCCCACAGATGTGTTTTCATCTTTAATAAGCGTCCCAAGCAATGGCGCCAGCAAACACTTCGACGCCTTCTCCTTGTAAAAAAACCCTAAACACCTACAGTCCTTATCGCACCTCGCTCTGCATTCACTCAGCTTCATCGCCTTTCCCCCATCCAGATACGGTCCAAGAAAATGCTCCGCTCCCACAATCTTATAATAATCCACATTCGTATTCTTCCCTGATTTTCCACAACCCGGCAACTTCGGCGGCGAGCAGCTCTCGCTCCACCCGAAGAGGCCCTTTGGACTTGGACAAGCCACGCACATGCTCTTGTCACAGAGCCCAAACGAGCCGCACTTCGACGGCAGACCACATTCTCGAACAAAGAAGCTTGAAAAGAAAGCAAAGCTCTCTTCCCATTTCAAGAATTCAACTGGGTCGTAATAAGTGAAAGCTCTGAGGTTCCCATCTGATCCTAACCTCAAGAAAGAGCTTGTGGCGTTGTAGTTGAGTTTGTTGAGAAAAAGTTTACCGCCGCCGCCGATTGGCCGGACTTGAAGGAGCTTTCTATTATTTCCCGGGGAAGAAGCTGGTGTGGGAATTGGGTTTGTGTCGAGGACAAGCTCGTAAGCTGTTTTGTTATCATTATGAGGAACGACTTTGAATGTAACAAGATCGCCAAAGTTTTTGTCTTGCCAACCTCCGTAAATCAGAGGTTTTCTTGTTTGATTCACGTACATTATGAATCCTCTGTGATCCAGTAACATACTGTAAGGTCCATCTGAAGGATCCATGTCGGACTTTCGGCTCACGAGCCGATTCGGGCCGTTGATCTTAAGTGACTGACCATTCAGTAAAGTATCTCTGGGATGATCAAAACTCTGCCAAATAAATTTCCCATTTTTATCACGTAAAACCAAGTTCCCATTTGATAATAACTCGAGTTCTGTAACACCTTTGTTGGCGGTGTTGGTTTGCCACACCACCCGGCCGTCGGCCTCCGCTATAACCAAGTTTCCGTCTGGTCGGAAGTTGAGAGTGGAGTTCTCGCCGGCTGGATGGTCACGGTTGGCATCCCAGACCCAGCGCATGAGACTCTCGTCGCCGGGGAAACCAGCTCTGATGGCGAATATATAAGCACCGGGAGTAGTGTTGTAGAAACAGAGACGAAATGGCTCGTTGATAAATCTGAAGTTATCGTTTCTGATGACACGGTAGCTGGCGTCGTACTCGATGATTCTGTCTCCGAATTCACCTTCGTTGACGAAGGTGAAGTTTTCGGAAGCTGGGAGGACTTGGGCTAGAATGATGTCATTGATGGAGAATAAGGTGAGGAGAGTGAAGTGGAGGAGAAGATGAGGGAGTTGCAGAGTAGCCATTTTTGGATGGTTGAAGGATTTGGAGTCCAATGTCATGGGGTAGGTATATAAAGATGATGATGGGTTGAAAAGTCAAAGAAGGCAGCGTCTGGTTTGGATGTTTGGAGGATTGAACTGGCAATGTCAGTGCATTGGGACCAATGTTGTGAATAGTGCATTGATATTTTGGAGGTTTTTAATGGAGGTTCGCCATTTCTGGAAAGTTTAAATGTAAAGAGCCAGTGATCATAATGGCTCGGCCTGCATTTTTTATTGTGAATTATTCCATCATCACGATATTCTTCCAAGTTTGTACAGATATACACGTATGGGTATAATTATGAGAAAGTGTGATAGCATATTGTTTATGTAATTATTAAATTTTATATAAATATTTAAATTACATACTATCACTAATTTGAACATAAATTTTTTAAAGATCCATTATTTAAGTCCAAAAGGTTATTGAATTAGTAGTATTTAGATTTGAAATATTATAAACAGTATCAAAGCACATGTCATTTCAATATTTTATGTCTAGCATGATCTTAGACCTTATGAGTTTTTGGATTATGATTTATGATGTTATAATGTACGGGTTTGATGAAAATATTAAAAATTTGAATCGTAAAAATTATAATAGTTCAATATCACATCATAAAGATATGTAATTATTGGCATTATAAACAAACTGCTATTGAAAGATAAACAGTGTACAAACACTTTCAATAATGGAATTAAGAATGTAACAATACCAACTGAAAATAACTTATACTAACAATTGTTCGTTAATAGAGATCTAATTTTATTGAGAAACTTCTTTCGAAACTAAAAGATATTTTCTTGTAATACAAGCTTTATATAAATGCTCAATCACACACCATCAATAAATTGAGTTTAAAATATGATTGAACTAGTAGTACTTGAACCGGAGTTATTAGACAACATGTAAAATTTCTAGTTAAAAAAAAAACTTGTATTAATAATTAATTTTATAGTAAATTAAATAAAAAAACACAAGAGATATTAATTAAAACTATTTATTCAAGTGATCGTTTATTTAAGTAATTACAATATTAGTAAGAATATGACACAAACTTCATTGTTCTTCGTACTTATAATAACAAATAAAAAACACTAAAAATTGAAATATATTATAACACTCGCAATTTTACAGACTTGAAAAAATATATTTAAAAATTAAATTAAGCATAAAATTATATGAATTAAAATTTTAGGGGTTTAAATAAAGAAAAAAATTAAATTTTGGTGACATTTTATGAATAATAAGGACCAAAATGATAATAAATACTAAAAATAGGGCCAAAATGTAATTTTGGAAGAGGTGTCAAGGCGGGCCAGGCCATTTGGACACGTGTGCGTACATGTGGCGAGATTTGAAAACGAACGGCCCATATTTGTCTTGCAGATCTTACGGCTCCCAAAAGCCCATATAAGAGCTTCACTTTCAGCTCTTTGAGAGGAAAGAAGAACCCTAGCTGTTAGGGAAGCCCAAACGGCATCGGGGCCGAGAGAGAGGAGAGAGGGGAGAAGCCTTGTTCGCATGAGGTGGAGGAGTGTGCGGCGGCCACGAAGGTGGAAGATACGGCAGAAGGGGTGACATCACAGAAAGAGAGAAAAAAAAAAGTGTGACAGCCATTGTGCACAATGTACGGCTGAGGGTCAGTGAAGCTGGGAGAAGACGTAGATTTGAACAACCAGCACGATGTGTAGTGATCCTGCAGAGGAGATAAGTGTGCGAAGTGTGTGACCAAGAAGAAAGGACTTCGCATGCGGCGGCTTTGCGAAATAGAGGAATCTGACATAGTGGCCATTGTGGACACATCAAAGGAGAGAAGAAACAACCATATGGAGAAGAAGGAAGAAAGAAAAAAGAAGAAAAAAAGGGAAAAAAAAAAGAAAAAAAAAAGAAGAAGAAAAGAAAATAAAAGAAAGAAGAAAATAAAAGGAAAGAAAAAAAAAGAAAAGAAAAAGAAAATAAAAGAAAAAAAGAAAAAAAAAAAGAAAAAAGAGAAGAAAGAAGCATAGCACAACTAGATCTACTATTGGTGCGCACGGAGGCATGAACTAATCACAACGGCATATATGGTAGTGCGTGAATATTTAGGTGACACATGTGTGGTGGCACATGGTGGCTCCAGCATCCAGGGACTCCGAATTTGAAGGTAAAATCATTTTTCTTTTGTTTCGTAGCGTTTCGATTATTACTTATCTTTAATGACATATGTATCCTGGTTGTGAAGGAGGAAAATATTGGAGCGGTAGTCGGGATGTGGAGAGAATCGTAACCCGATACCATTTTGGATTACCACGAGGTTCATGTTGAGCCAACCACTTCCTACGACGAAGCGGGGTGCATCTTCTTCGAGAATCCCGAACCTGTTGAAGGTAAATTCTTAAAAACCCATTGTTCGTGCTACTTCATTAAGTTAGATTTATGATTAATTTTAGATAAATTGAGTAATTAGACATAGAAATCTAGATGAGTCATTTAATAATTATTAAAGTTATTTTGGTAAAAAAAAAGTATCTAGTAATCGATATATAGCTTCTTGTAGGCCTTGGAATTGGGGAGAGTGTAACTCGATGCCTTAGTCGTTGGGGAAGGTAAATATACCTAGTAGCTATCCTGAAGCCACATTTGCATGTCTTTTAAAAATATTTTCAAACAAAAACCTAATTAAATTTTGAGTAAGGTTTATAAAATTAAAAAATCGAGATTGATAATCACGTGAGTTGAAGAAATTGAAAAATGGTAATACTAAATGTTTAACTTGTCATTTGCTTATTGCTTGATTGTTAAATGAAGATTGCATGTTTTAAATATTATATGATAAGTTGATCATATAATGAGTTGAATAGTGTGAGTAGAATATTAATAGTAGTGCATATTCACCAATAAGATCATAAATACATAAAATAACTCTCACAAACAAAATAAGATCAACAAAAAAATACACATTTTTGAATAAAATTAGAAATTCTAAATAAAACTACAAATTAAAAATAATAAAAGTACTAAAATATAAATAATAAACAAATAATAACTAAAAAAAATACAATAACCAGAAAAGTGTATGATTACAAGGAGTTAGTGAGTTGAATAAGAATGAAGAAAAGACAAACTAGGAGAATTGGAATAGTGCGAGATATAGAGTAAGGTTAACTAAGAAAATATAGAAAATCTCTAGGAAAAATAATTAGTCTGTTAAATAAAATAAAAATATCAATCTTAACTAGAACAAAAAAAAAAAAAAGAAAAAATAATAAAAACTTGGAAGAAGCGAAAATTTAGAGTTAACCTGCTTAAGATTGGTATGACTGAAATTCAACGGTATGGTGAACCATATAATTGGGTGGATGGAAACCCTTCCAGACGTGGTTGAGGTGTATGCTATGTTTTGGGCCACCTAGTGACGGACTGTTGTGAGCAATGTGTATATTTTGGTTGTGTGTGCACATCCCCTTATGATAGTGAGAATACTGATCACATAATAGTACTAATTAGATAATACATTCACTCGTTCAATCTCAAAAAAAATTCTAAATAATGATAGTGTTAGGGCAAATTGAGAATAGAGGATACCCACTATGAGGTTACGGATGTCTCGATTTGACCGGAAGCTTGCAGGAAATTCTAATATATGAAATTGTGGAATAAGTATGGATTAGAGAAAAACTGATGGGTGAATATAGTTTATGAACTAGATGTGATGTAATAATAGTGTGCGATATAAAGTGGTTACTAATTAAGGAATTAAGAGAGGAAAGAAATTATGAGAATAATGAGAAAACAACTAGAGAGGGGAAATTACTGGTTGGAGTTAGGAGGAAAGAGATGAGGGAGAAGTTAAGAAATTGAATTTCTCTGCATTTCATGATTTTCAAACATAAAGGGAAATAAAAATTTTACATTTTTTATTGACTGTATGTTGGTATGTCGCATTCTTAGGGTGTGGTCTATTTGATATACTTATTAAGTCTGTCCTTTTGCTCATTTTATTTAAATTCTAATCTTTTTCAAATTAGGCCCATAAATATAATTTATAGAGCCAAATCAGGAATTTAATATTTATTTTATCAGGTGAGTTTTAGTTCAGTTATGGACTCTACAGATTTTGTAACCTCATAATATAATTTATGTTGTTACATGTTGTATAAGGGATGAATAGTTTTTATTGTATTTAAATTTAAATTTAAATTTTTTATGTTGTATTTTCTGATTCAGTTGTGTTTGGCGTCATAGTTTCTCGGTTGGAGAACTGCGGACCATCACATATATATATACCTACACAATACTTTAATTAAATTAGAGTCGCCTCAGTAAAATTATTATGTTTCGAAATGAAAGAAGTTGTAACAGCCCCCGAAATTCAAAGAGAAATACATATAATAATCTGAGTACGGAAGCGAAATAAAAGATTAAGGTTAACATCCCTTACACAATAACTTAAAATTACTAAACAACATTATGGAATAAGTTTTCTGAAAGAAATACGAGAAATGAGAAAAATTAAGGAAACTATAAAGCATCTAGCATCTACTCGCAGTCTTCTTGTGGATCGGCCTCGGGAAACAGGTCCTCTTGATCTGAAATGGTTAAATAAGGAATGAGTTACACTAGCCCAGTAAAGACATCACACTATATCACCGTCACAGAAGTAAAGGTTGGTAGAAAATCAAAACAACCAATGGAGCAGTAGATTT